AAGGCTAGTTGCTTATATTTAAACCGAAAGATAATGATTACGGTTAATTTATGATCAATTTAATTTTTTCGGGCTTTTGTGTTGTTTTGTGTGACGACTTAGCCATAATTTCTTTATCGCAATCGGTCGAAAGTGCCTTTGCCGGTCACTTTCACTTTCGGTGCTCGCTGTAAATTGAGACCAGCTTGCAACACGAAAAGTAATTTGAAACGCTTTCAAATGACTGCCACAAAATTAATGGACACCAATCAGACACTCACACAGAGTGCGGCTCGTTCAAGTGGCGCCAATTAAAATGATTAACATCGCGCGATAGAATAAATAAAAAGTATACGGCCGAAAAAAAAGAGTCACCCGAAAGGCTGAACGGAAATAAACGGAATACCCGATGATAAGAGGGCTTTGATAGCTCACAAGTTGTTTCGGCGCATAATTGATGTGATTGAGATTGATTGTTTATTTGTTTTCCGCCCATTCAGTGGGTAGATTTGATTGAAATTGTCGCTCCCCCCTTTTCGGACCCCGAAAAAGGCGCCAGTTTGACCGCTTTGTGGGCTTATCAGCCTTACATTTTTAGCCTATTTCTTTTTATATTTTTTTTTCATGTGTGTGTGTTTTTCCCTGCCTTTTGGTCAGACATTTTCGAGTTCCCTTTTTCATACGAATATTCTTTGTGGGTTCTTTTGAAATTTCGCCTCGGGCTTCAAAAGCAATTTGTGTGCATTTAGTGTCAAATGTTTTGTTGAGCCCTGAAAGCCCTATTTTTTCCAATGATCTGTTTTGTGGGTCTTTGTGCGGGGCTTTTGGGGCGGCCAACTGATTAATATTTATACACAAATTTATGGCAATCACTCATACGCCCCGTGTTGTGTGTAGTAACCAACTTAATGATTGATACCATTTGAAACCCATTTAATTTTCAACAGATTACGAGGCATTAAGAATGCCGCGGCAACGGTCAAGCGTTTTTCTTTGGACACTGGGGAATTATAGGGTTTTTTTTCTTTGGTTCTGTGCCTTGGCTTTAAAACCAATTTGGGAAAATGTGCAAGGTAAAGACGGGTTGTCACATGCTGACGGCATAAGCAGGTGTTTGGGCATAATTGAAGCATCATGCGGGATACAAAATCTCAAAGCTTTCGAAACACTGATATATTTTACCATTCAAAAATTTTATTTTTTTTGGTACTCCGTTTTTTATTGCTTTTAATATAGTGGCTCTTTACATACTTTTTTGTAGCCTCGCTCAACCCGTTTGTTCGTACAATTAAGCTTGTGACACATCTCATGATGCTGTTAATGGTGATGATGATAATGCAATTGACAGTTATCAGCGGGAACATTAATTTGATTACTTCTATATGAATTTATTGGTTAATTTGTTGGAGCATTTTACGATTATTGACTTTGACTGTTTTATAACCCACATTCGCCCCCTTTTCAGTTCCCCCTTCCACAAAATCGATTATCTCGGACCATAATTTGTAATGCCGCGACTTAACTCTATAGAGAAAAAAAAAACGAAATGAGAAAAAACGGGTTATTATTTTGCGGTTTAAGCGGCGATTGCAATTCATTATCATAGTTGCCGCCTCGCGTGCATTTAAATGAATTCATTGAGTTTCACCCATTCAATTTGTACATACGCAAGCATTTAGTTTTCAAAATGATATTTGCCATGAATGGTTATGACTGTAGTTTTGGATCGGGGGTTCCGCGGAGGTGTTGCTGGCACGATTGGATGGGGGTCTGAGTTTCGAGTGATAAATGCCGTTTGATTGTACTCTCAAAAGGCAATAATAATAATAATAGCACGAAATGGTAACATTGTGTTGGCCGCTGCTGTTCAAGTTTTATTGCCTCTTTCTATTTCTTACTTGATATTTATAGTCGCTTATTAACGAAATTGGATCGTTAAATTTATGACCTCACCATAAAATACCATAAATTTCTTAATGAACAGCAGTACACATCGATTCAATGACTGTTTATTTTTAAGTCTGCTCTTAATCGGTTTCTTATCGCTTCATAAACCCAAGTGTTGCGCAGATAATCCTTCTAGGAGGTAACACTTATCTATATAAAACTTTAGTTCCTATAAAAATTCTAACGAACAAAGTTATTGATAGACCGATTGATTGATTATTGCGAATTTTGATTTGATTAGAGTAAAGTATTTATAAGGTGACTAATACTCTATTTTTAAACACTGATAAGGGGAAGTTATTTCATGAGGTTTTTCATTAAGCAGCTTTATTTATTGCTTGCTGAATGTCATTAGCTCACCGTGTCAATACTAAATATTATTTCGTAGATGCTAAACCCTCTAATGGACCCACAAAAAATAAACGCTTCATGTAAATTGACTTTTAACCCAGCCCAACCCCAATTAGAGTGCCATAACCATTCCGCTGTATATCTTGTACTTCAGCCTGTCCGTCAGTCTCTCGCTTTTCACATATTTAAAATGTTCCAAGAATTAATTAACACTTTGGACAAAAACTATTATTTGAGTGCGAGTACAAAAAATTAACATGACAGCTCTAGACATGGCAATTTATCACTAGCATAACATGCCGGGGCAACTCTGCTCCACAACTCATTTGTTGCTGTTGCCCGGCTGGCATGGCATTTCTGCTGTTGATGACACTTTAATTAGAGCCACACGCAAACACAAAGCCGAAAGAATGGTTCATTGAGGGGGAATTTTTGCCAGGGGAAAACAGGGCCTGAGACAGAGCCGTTATGTCAAGCGCACACTTTAACTGCCAGATCCGACCAGTTGTTGGGTTCATTTGGTGGCCCAAAACCAAGCCAAACGATACCAAACCAAACCAAGCCGATGGCAGCCTGTGGTTAACTGAAATGAACGTCCGACTGCATAAATGGCCGCTTGACTGACACATTTAATTATATTAATGATGTTTGCGGTCAGCTGACATTTGCACTTTATTTACCTTTTTCTGCCGCTCTGTCAGTTTAACTGACTGACTGGTCTTGAGCTCATGTTAAGCTCTGACATGAGCCTGAGCTCGGGCGAACTGCAAATGGAAAACTGGAACTGACTTTCACGTTCAGATTTCGAGTTATTGCCCAACAGATAGCTCCGAGTCGCATTTATTTCCATTTTGCGACGCGACGCCGTTTCCTTTTTCGGTCAAAAAGTTTTGTAATTTTTCAACATGTGACAGCAAATTATCAACAGTCACTTCGGAGATCTCTCTTTCATTTTCGTATTTCTGTTTCTGTCTCTGCTTTTATGGGGCGCCACATAAAAGATATACAAATGATGACACTGACAGCTGTCAGGCTTAGTTTATTTGATTTTATTATAATTAATTATAAGCAGCTGCCATTAATCATTGAATAATTTATACGTTCGCCGATAGTATCGCAGATAAAGCACAAAAGAAGAAGGTTAGTCAGTCACCGGGAGACACGTAAAGCTAAATTTACTTAACACGTCGCACGTCAATTTTAAATCGCATTTAAGTCTATATGGAAAAAGTATTAGTTCTTAACAGGGTATTTTAATTTCATTATGGATATCACTAGGTCAGTCATTATAAATCCTAAATAAGGATCCTAAAAAAGCTTTAATCTGGTTCTGTAAGCCTGTCAGCCACCGGAACCAGTTCATCATGGGCCTCGTATTGAGATACGATCCGTTGATTTATGGGTTTTGCCTCATTTGCGCTGTTGAAAAGCTTTCACACGACCAATATGGAGATTGCTGGGGCTGCGGATCTCCACCGAAATCAGTAAATCACATAAGCTCCGAAAACGCTATTTCAAATTACCCAGTTAATGAATGTACTCATCGTGCTGGTGCCATAAACTGCTTCCGTTCTTTATGAACAAAATGCGCTCAACAAATTAAAATGAAAATTTATGAGTCTCACGGCAGTTCGAAGAGAGATAGTTTGTATAGAGTGTGAAAGAGAGGGAGGAGGAAATGGGGACCACAACAACTTTGACTCTGATTAACTGCCATAGTTCCTCGAACTCGGTGTGTGTAAGTCGGTGTGTGCGAAATTGCATTTGTTTTCTGTCATTATAAATTCAAATTTGGCGCGCCATAAATTTACATACAATTTCCAGAGGTGCATTCGACTCTCTAAACACTTTCAGACAGAGGCAACTCGGCTACGGATTTACATAGTTTAATATGAACAAACATAAATAAGTTTTATGTGCAGATATTGGAGAATTTATCGTTCTACGATTGTGAATTCGCTCTTTGCCTTTTTCCCTCCCCTTCCTTCGAAAACAGTTCCGTTTGCGAGCACATGGCCCCAAGTCTTCTGGAAGTTTGGCGGAGGTTGCTTCGGGTTCGGGTTCGGTTAGGATTGGGGCTGTAGTTTTTCGCCTGTGGCGAGTGCTTCACAGTCGACATTTTTATTATTTATGAAATATGGCTCGACAATCTATTTCGAATGTCCGAAACGTCGATAGTTTGTTATTCATGGCTATAAGTTTTGCAATCGAACGAAACGAATTGGGTGTTATTGCTAGAATCTGTGTTATTCATATTTCTCTCCGTTAACCATGATGATTTTCAGTTATCCATATGTCAGGCTTTAATAAGTTTCTTCATGGTTAAGGTTCGAAAACCGATTTAACAAGGTAAGTTTACGTAATGGTATGCAGATTTCTAAGCGGATCCACGGGGGATTTGGGGAATATATCCCCCCTTGGGTTAAAAATTAAAGGAAATTTGGAATTCAGAAAGTATGCAACAACATATTTGTTTTGCAACCAAATTCTGAGTCCGCCATTGTCTAATCTGTCTATTTTTTTAAAAGACCTTTATTAATGAATTCTCTCTAATAAAATCATTTCAATCCTTCTGAATGTAAGTGGAGTAAGAGGTTTGCCAAAAAGTAATCGCATTAATCGCTAAACCTGAATTGACCGATAAATTCAATAAATTTCTGATTGCCGAATTACCCCACCTTTCGAATTATATCCCAAGAATGAGACAAAAGAGATGAGCTTACCGCTGTTGGGGCAGCTGCAGCTGTCATATAATCCGGCCTTAAATAATGATGATTGGTGGATTGCAGCATTTTATTATAATTTGTTAAATCCACTTTGACGGCTTTTCTTTGGTGGTTCGGTGGAGGTGTTGAGTGGTTGTTGTTGTTGTTGCTTGTTGCTTGTCCCGACCGCAAAGTACGGCAGCGCGCTTAACGGTAAATGCCAATTTATGTGGCGTGTGCTGCCAACTCGTGTGAAAAGCGGCGCCTGCGCCTTGCCTGCAATATTTTCCAGCTGCCTGACTTTTCGCTGATTAAGCCGTCCACGTTTCGCGGCTCTTGTTGATGTGTGTACTTATTTATGATTATTTATTATTTATTTCTTTTTTATTCCGAATCGTTATTGCTGCTGGCTGGGCTTTGTTTGTAATTCGATTTCATTAATAATTCAGTGCTGTGGCGCAGGGGGGATTTCTCATGCGTCGAGTTGTGACTTTCACGCCATCGGCATATTAATTTGTTGTTGTTATAACTTGGCTTCGCTTTAATTGTGCAATAAATTCATTAAGTATTATAATTGCCTCAGCTGGATTTAATATTTATATGTACACGATATGTGTGTAAAAAAGAATTTACACATTACTTTCTTTTTTTTGCTTGGTTATATTTTTTGTTGATTCACGCATGGGTTTTTGTTATGTATTTATTTATTGGTTTCCTTTTGTGTTAAGATATACTTTTATATTTCTTTGGCTTGGCCGTTTTTGGTTTGTGGTTTCGCTCGAATGCCTCGTTGAGGGCGCGTTTTATGATGAGGCACGTACGTTAGATGGTTCCGGAAACGTGGGGTTATCCAAAAGTTTCGCTATTTACTCAGCTAATTTTGTTTCACATGTATACTTGGTTTTGAACTCAGTCTAATTTTGATAAAGCACAAAGATCATCACTCGAAAACGATTTAAAAAATAGGCTATTTTCATTTAGATTTTTCCGTTTCGGGGGAAGTGCATAGGTGTATATCCGCCTGGCCGATTTTACGCTTTCGCACTCACAACACAACACTCCGGTCGTAGCAGTCCGTCCGTTCAGCGCACGTACGAACTTTAAACGTGAAAAACAGAATTTCGACTAAAAATCTATAAACAACATGACGTGCACGCTCCTGTTCGCTCTTTCACCCACTCTGCGTTCGGCTCGCTCTCACTAGTTTCAGCGCTCCCTCGAAAACCAGTTCGCTCTTGGTTGTTTGGGGCCGTTTTCATTTTCAACAAGTGTGCTTTTGTTGTTGTCCGAGGCCATGCTCCCCTTTAGAGAGCGAACGGAGAGCCAGAGCGCTCAGTAGTTGGGGTCGGGAGCAAAAGTTTTTAGTGCGCCGCTCTTTGCTGAGCGCGCATGCTTTTTGCTGAGGCAGAAAGTTTCGCGTGGGAGCGGAGAGCGAAAAAAGGCAGTAGATTCGGCGGTTTAGTAGTAGAGTAGTAGATGGGACTTATGTGGAGGAAAAGCAGTGTTGACCATGGAAAGTAAAAAATGTCAGAATCAGTCTTTTTTAGAAAATTTATTTTAGTGCGTTAGTTGTTTTAGTTTAGTTCAAGTTTTTTCATTGGTATTTTTCAAAATAAAAATTTTCAAATTTTATGATAAATTAATTTTTTTAATTTGTTTCATTCATGTCTACAAAACCCTTAAAACTCAGTATTTAAATAAAAAACTATAGTTTAGTTTAAAAAATTTACAAATTTTCAGGAATTAAATTAATATCTTGTTAAAAAACTTTATCAATATTTAAAAGGAGAATATATATAAAAATGTTACAAGAAGGAAACTAGATTTTTCCATGAATTGGGGATTTTGCAAAGTTATTGATAAAATAAAAATGAAACTTGATATTGTTAACAAAGCAGATAAGGCGAATGATCTTGAAGAATTACGTATACGACTAGTTGGACAGCATAAACATATCCAATCCATATAAAAGTATGAATTTATAGTACAATTATTTTTAACAAAGCAGATAAAGCGAACGATCTTGAAGAATTACGTATACGACTAGTTGGACAGCATTAGCATTTCCATTCCATATTATAGTATGAATTTATAGTAGAATGTATTCTATAAAAAATAACTTTAGGCTGAAAAATAAAAAATGTAAAAACCCAAAATAGAGGCCACACACACACAACGCTGGCAACACCGACACCAACACGCTCATTGGGCGATCGTCGCTTCTGTGTAGCCATTTTGGGTAATTTTGTTGCTGCTGTTTCGCAGTGTTTTGTGGGGAATTTATTTCCACATGTGTGCAGCCATGACGAGTGTGTGCGTGTGGAGAGCGCAACGGCGTCGGCCATAATTGTTTACGAGCAGGTGGGCGTGTGTGTGGCGCTGTTTAGAGTGTGTGTGTGGCGGGGGTGGGGGATGTGTTAAAAGCTGCACCCGAGCAAAAATGATTTAGAGCTCCAGAGAGTCAAAGAGAGAGATCCATTTCCGTGGAGAGATAAAAATTCGGTGGATTTCCCTCACTTCACTGAGAGTTTTCCCCACTGTAAACAGAAAACAGCTGGCGGAAAACTTGGCTCGGGTGTGGGACATGCAGACGGGAAATGTCTGAGATAAGCTTTTGACTAATTTTACACTTTGGTTTTGCCATCAGAAATTTTTAAACTCAATTTGTCGCCTGCAAAACTTTTTCTGAGCAAAGAATGTTTAATTTAATTTTCCCCTAAACCTTCAGACCATTTATAAAAACAAAGGTGGGCTTGTTTGACCTAATCACATGTGGGTACAGTAAGCAATGGTTTTCTAAAGTTAACATCAAGACTAGCAAAGTTTAGTAATGAAAAATTTGTTACCATAAAATGACATTTTAAAAGCGGTATTATTCCTATAAAAAATTCCATTTAAGAACATATTCTTATTCACTGAAAACCTTAATTTGAGATTGAAATAATTTATTCAATAAGAATTCGTGACGACACTAACCATATGCTATCGACAAAGTTTTCTGCATTTTTCCAAATGAGTTGCTTACTACTTATTTTATTTTTATTAAGTTTCTTTCCCTTTTTTAGTATGCAAAATGTTTAATATCTGAATCATAACTCCCACCAAAAGTCTATTAAGGAGACCATATATTAGAGTCATAATCTGTAGTTAAATTGCTCTATTGAGGCCGCAACATCGTAAAAAACAAAAAAATGATCGTAAAAACACAGAAAAGTCCACGCAATTGGTTAAATATTCATCAGACGAAATCTTGCTCTAGCTTTATGGCATTCAAATGTTTAGGATTTGAAAGAGAAACACACAATTAAACTAATCGTGGCGCTTTGAATTAACAATCGATAATTTACATATTTCGGCCATATATTGACAGCTGCCGCTGCTGCCCCACGCCTTCTTTAAGCATTTTTGGTGATGCTCTCATAAAATGCCCCCCGTCCATTGTGGGATTTTTGTCGTGTTCATTAAGAAGCTTTTGAAAGTTTCGCCTTTCAAAAACCATAAAATGTTTATTTAGATGCCACTTTAACGGCGGACAGAGTCAAACGTTTTATAGCTTCCTTTTGTTTCACAATATTGTTTTAGTTTCATTTTTGGACTTAATAGACTCATTTCTGGTTTAACACAAAACAATCGAGTTTCAATTAACCACACAAAAAGTCTATGGCCATCTCGCTCTCTCCGGGAAAACCACAAAATTAAGTGGCTAACAGTATTTTGTGGCCACAACACATTACAAACCGCAAACAAAAAAAAAAGGGGAAAAACATTATAATAGAGAACCGGGTTTGTCCATATCCTTTTTTTTTTTTGATGTGAGTTTGTCTGCCGCGCCCAAGCGAATATCCCCAGCAGACAAATAAGTAGGGGTGCGTTTTTCACGGTGCGGGGGTCGTTTCCGTTTCGGGCTTTTGTTAGCATTTTAGCAGTTCATTTATGCGGTTCGGGCTCACACAGGATGAGGATGCGGCACATGTGACCGGAAAAGCCCTTTTAGTAACACAAAATGGTCACCAAAGTGGTTGAGTGCTTGTTAGTTTGCGGGATGTCTCGGGAAAATTTAGCCCTAACACTCCGAACTTCCTGATCGTGTTGCTCTTGAAATAGAAAATTTTAAATAAATATTTCATATTTCCTGGCTTAAATGATAAAAAGTTTTTCTGTGTTTAAAGTTTTTATATTTTAACATTTAAGGATATAAGGATTCAGCATTTAATATATAATTATCCGCAGTGCCGCCATTTGTATGCACCCTCTTAAAAGATGTTGCAGTCCCCGTTGCTCGATTGCAGTTAAGCTTTCCCCTTTTCCGCGTTTTCTCTTTCGCTTTTCATCTTTTTACCCTTTGGCCATATTTTCCAGGCGACATTTCTGTTGTATGCATGTGTATGTGTGTGTATGAATTATATGCTGCACACTTTTTAACCCTTGGCATATTTTACAAGCTGCTTTACTTGCCTCATACTTATACTTTACTCTCCAATAAACATACAAACGCACTTACCCAGTGTTTGTACATGGATGTCAGGAGAGTGTGTGTTTGTAGGTTTTTCCGCCTTTTTTTTCTGCTCGTTTGTCGTGGCCTCAAGTGCGCCGGCGAGTTCATAAATTTGCCCACTGGGGCGTATGAGTAATGTGCCAAAGGGGCTTCGCTTTCTTCTCGTATAAGTGTGTGCAACATGACAAAAACGGTAGAAAAAATGAAAAATAATATCCGAAAGACATAGGCCAGCAGGCAACATATGTTGGCTTCAATTTAATATTTTTTCCTTCTAAGAATTGGTTTGGAGTTTGACAAAATTAAATTCAATTTTTTAAAATTAATAATAATTATTTACTGCCATAAAATTGTCAAAAAGTCTTTTTTAAACAAGAGAGAACGCTATAGTCGGGTTGGTGTCCCGACTATCTGATACCCGTCACTCAGCTAAAGGGAGTGCGAACGCTGTGTCGGGTTGGTGTCCCGACTAATAATCGTAACTCAGCTAAAGGGAGTGCGAGGGAGATAGATATATGTTGACAATTTATAAAGCGTATAACTTTTTAATGAATGGTCCGATTTGAAAAATGTCTTCTACATTTCGATAGGTATAAATATACACAACAAAATTGCATTTATACTTCTCGGAAATCTTTAAAGATGTGGGCGCAGGACCCATTTTAAAATCATTAGTGGGCGATTGTGGGCGTTAGAGGGGGCGTGGCGCTCGGCTAAAATAAACTTGCGCTGCGTAGGAAGCCAAAGAATATGTGTGGGAAATCTCAACCTTCTAGCTTTGGTAGTTTCTGAGATCTCAGCGTTCATACAGACGGACAGACGGACAGACAGACAGACGGACAGACGGACAGACGGACATGGCTAGATCGACTCGGCTAGTGACCCTGATCAAGAATATATATACTTTATGGGGTCGGAAACGCTTCCTTCTAGCTGTTACATACTTTTGCACGAATCTAGTATACCCTTTTACTCTACGAGTAACGGGTATAAAAATGTCGTAGAGTTTATATATTGTACAATGTATATGGACTATTTTTTAAAGATTGTTTTACCAAATGAATAGATTTGTTAATGCTCTTTTAAAAAACGGATTTAACCATCTTTAGTAATTATTTTTTTTTTTTTATAAAAGTCATAAAAAATTAGGTATCCTTCTGGTAATAATTTTTAATTTCTCAGTAGGTAATATTGTTAATTAAAGTACCTACAGTTTTAATATGTTCATACCAATATCAAAATTTTCTAACTGTTTTCTAACATCTTATTAGATCGAATTTATTATGTTTTCATAGGAGTGAAGTCCCACCAGTTTGCCACTTTTTTCCAGCCTTTAATTTGCATTTTTCTGAAAGCACTTAGCATCTCATGTTTATTGTCCATTATTATAATTGCGCAATCTTCGCCATACAAAAGGTGTCCCGGTCTTGGGCCAGTTTTCCTTTAGTTGCCCACATCCGGTCAACTGCTGGCGTTTATCATAATTGCAGTTCATTTGCATGCCCGGGAAAATGCAGCTTGCTTTTCACATATATTTTTTTCCGGCGCTGCTGGTGCTCTCTTCATCTTGCTGCTGTCGCCTGTCGCCGCCTCTCATGCGGCAACAGCAACTGTCGCCGTTGCTGTCACTTGATGTCGCAACGCATTAGAATATGTTGCATGCTGCCCCCTTTGGCCCGTTCCCTTCCCCTCCCTTCAACCTGCAACGGTTGCAGTTGCATATGCAATATGCAGCGCGGGCAAATTTTTATCTTATGACAGCTGCTGCTACCGCAGTTGTTGTAATACCCTTGCAAGGGCCTTCAGGGATTGGCATAGAATTTTAAATAAATTTTTAGTTGTATTACAATTTTTTGTACTCATACTTTAAAAAAAAAAATTAACACCCACCGACATTTTTGAATAAGTATATTTTTCTGTCAAATACTTTGGTTTGACAACATTTTAGTAAGCATTAATAAGGAGCCTTAAATATAAAATTTAAAATATATTTTAATTTATTTTTAAATAAAATTCACCTGATAAAATAAAATATTTGCAGAGCATTGGTTATTTCGTTCTTTCGTTGAATTTATTGTTGCCTCTGCTGATTCAGTTGCAGTTGGTAGTCGGAAAAAATATGTTGCTGTCGTGCTTGGTATTGTTGCTTTTGCTTTTGCCGCTGCTGTTGCCTTGTTACATGTTATGCCCTACGCACATGCGGCTGCTGGCTGAGGAACACACATTCGGTAGTGCTGCAAGGAGGCAAAGGCGCCCGAAAACAAATGTCAGCTGTAAAAATCATAAATTTAATGCAAAATGCAAAAACGCTTTGCGCTTCGTTGCGCTTTTACTCTCTGACAGGTGACCCCTTGCACCTACCATTTGGTCCACCCTAGGCCACCCCAGTCCACAGCGCTCTGCATTTGTGCCTCTTCTAACTGAAATATGATATATGCGAAGTGCAGGGTGGAAAATGTGGCAATGTTGCTTCTTGAATACTCTGCTAGAAGGAAAAGTTAGAAAACAATTATTTAACTGGATTGTCAGTGAATTTTTCTTATTAATCGCTTAGATAAGATTTTAGAAAAGTAAGTAATATACTTTTCATGGGCTAACGATTTGGTACTATGTTAGATATTTATATCCCATGCAAATCTTTGAATATTATTATATTAATTTAATATTACTTTATATGTGTTTATATTTTTAAATATTTTTTAAAATTTATAAATATTTTTTGATATTTCTATATCTGTTTGCATAATAGAGAATATACTTTGTTAAGAATTCAAAGCGATTCCATGCCATTATGTTCTGCTAATTAATCTGCTGCGCTCAATCCATAAATTATATTTTATGGCATTGTCCAAAGATGTCAAATGACATTAGGCTAAGCTATAGTTACAATAAACACAACATAAATTTCAATCAGAAAGCAAAGCGAAGACGATCGCCAACCCTACGACATATAAGTCTATAGGCAATCAAAGAAATCTGAAAAAAGAGGCACAGAAATAACTTTAAAGATAAAGCCAATCAATGATGTCACGCCTTCTTGTCTTTTGGCCATTATTGTGGGTTGATTGTGTCGAGAGGGCTGAGTGGTAATACGACAGTGTCTTGACACTAAAAGCATTTTTCCGTTCAACAAAAACGTTGTTGTTTACATTTCGCCTTGAGCTTTCATTAAAGACAAACAAAAATATATTTCACCAAATGACAAACATATCAAATTAATTGCAAATTCATGCAAATGAGAATGGAGAAGAAATAAAGAATTCGAAATGATGAAAATTAATTGCCAATATTAACGCGTTTTAACACAAAAAGTATGTTAGATATTGTATAAGCGATAACCAGCAGCAGCAGCAGCCTCAGCAACAATACCAATAAAGTAGCATTCAAGTAAATGTTTGTATTTTTTGTCCCCCCTTTTTTTTGTGAGCTTCAAATTTGTTATTAATTAACATTCATTAATTATCATCAAAGTGACTCGGAAGAATATAGAAACCCAACGTTGCCTGCCTTTTGTGGCTTGTGTTTAATTTATAACTTATAAATATGCAGCAATTTATTTAACACGACGCATGCATTCGATTTTGTGAGCCAAATGTGGCCTGTGAGTGAAATTTATGGGAGTATTTAGCGATCGAATCCAATAATTATTCTACTCGATATATTTTAAAAAGGTACGGATTATATAAACGACTTTGTGATGCCAGAAAATGATAATTTTTTAAAAATTGTACAAGTAATTTTTTCCTCAGATGAATAAAGCTAAATATGTTCAAATATTTTTAATTTCTAAAAAATTAATTTTTTAATATTTTTAATTTCTAAAAAATTAATTTTTTAATATTTTTAATTTCTAAAAAATATATATAGATTAATATTTCTAAAATATTTAATTTTTCTTCAATTATGTATTGGCATGTTGACAACACCCTTTTAATGAAATAATGTCTTACCTCCATTATTTTCTTAATGAAAGCCTAAATCGATCCACACTTTCCAAGTGATCGTCGATTAAAGTCACGTAAATGAGTTATTCAGCAGCTGCAGTGGTCCAGTAATTGGTCGTGGAAACCCGTTCGTTTATAGACTGTATAATTTGATTACCCTAATGAAATGTTAAAAGTTTTGAGTGATCATCTGATCCCCGGTACGTGACTCCATCCGGGATGCTACATTGGCCAAAGTCGCGGCTCTGGACCGATGTATGTTATAAATATAAATATATAATTTATATTGTGTCGGCACGTTGCTGTTGATGGAGCCACTGACGCGCGATGCCACCCAGATACCCCGCACTCCTTGGACGAACCTTGGTTGGAAATGGGAATGGGGACGTGGAGCTCTGGAGGAAGATCGCCCCGGACTGATGTTAATGGGCGTGTCAACTAAATTATGAGTTTCGCACACACGAACGAAAGGCGGCAACACAGGATCGACCGACTGGGCCAGCGGAGATCGCATCCAGCTGAGTAATAATAATATGTAGTTTGTATGGGGAGCGGTGGAAAAATGCTTAAGTAAATTACAGTGCGTGCAAATGTGCTTGTGAACATGGAATTATAATTTAGCCCCGAACCGAGCGTGTTCCGTTCCGAACCGCTCCAATTTACAATTAGCCAATGTTCTGCCTGCTTCGCCCCTCAGCTCTGTGGGGCCTTAATCAATTCAGCCCAGTACTCGCATGTCTGAAAATAAAAAAATAAGAAAAAACAAGCGGCATAGGGAAAATAATGATGAAAATTAACAACCAGAAAGCGGTTTTCATCTTAAGTGCAGTTTACGCTTGATTATTATGTTTGCGGGACGAGTTTCCGGGTGGTTAGGCATCATGTACCGCACAGATGCCAACACAAGTATGCAGACCCCCTGGACTAAATGAGTTAATTTGGTAGCCAGGCTAAGCCAAAAAGTTAACATGCTCTCGCCGGCATTTCTCCACCACAAAATGCCTGGCAAAAGACCGAGTGATGCATTCCATTTTGGTTGCAATCAATTTTGGCCCTCCAGTGATATGTCAAACATTTTTGAATTCAGGACTCCGGATTGCATTGCATGTTTTTGGGAAATCAAAGTTCATGCATACATGGAGTAACGCAAATGCCCCTCGGTGAAATGCGGACTGTATTTTCAATCAAACAGATGTTAGCCTTTGGGTTATTGAATAACGGAGCAATAGATGTTCTCCCCAAAACTGCAAACCATATTGTGTCAAGTATTGGGGCTAGTTTAATCGAAAACGTCTTTCAAACATGAGATTTAATCAAAAGTCAAAGGCCAAGTTGGCAATATTATGACTTTAGGCGTAAATTATGTCTTAAGACCAAAAGTGCTTAGTTTTTAATACAAACGATTTTGCAGAAAAAAATTAAAGAGTTTAAAATTGAATTTAACAGGACATTTCTTAAATGTAGGATTTGTTTATTAGACATTGATTAAATGACTAGGAATATGTAAATAAAAATTATATTTTTCATTAAACCAAACTACATTTAAGCATATTTATTTTAAATATTGAAATTGAATTTACTACGCATTGTTTATAATTTATAAATATATGTGAAATATTGAGATTAACGAGTAAAATCGCCGCACTTGAAGCACTTGCATTCGGTTGGCTCCCGAAGACGAATATCCATGCTGCCCATTTCCGGAGAGGTCAGGCGTGTTCCATCCGGATCATAGCAGTGGGTCAGAGTGATGACCTTTTCCTTGAGGAAGCTTTCGCGGCAGCAGTAGCACTCCTATAAATTAAGCTATACCTTTAAAATCCACTGGTAAATACTTTTAATAATGCTACTTACTTTCAGAAACCCCGTGGGAGTTATCACCGATGGCTGCACCTGACTATTGCACAATCCCTCGCACTTGTTCACGATGACGTCGGCATTGCAGGTCCTCTGCATTCTGCCCAGCTCGTCGAACTCCTCCTTGATCAAGTGGATCTCCGACTTTAGGGTCTCGCAGTTCTCGTCGCCAGTGCCCTGGCTATATCGCAGGGCCCTCAGGCACTGGGGCATTAGGACCGCGGCAACGAGAATAAGTTCCTGGACATGCATTCTGACCCACTCCCAACGCCCAACTGTTTGCAGCCACTCGATCTGGCGGCTCTTTTATAACCGGGACAAAGCCAGGACTTAATTGGATTCAATGATATATGTCAATGACTGGCTGATGGAATGTTTGTGTCCTGCCCAGCGGGTGGAAATTTTAGTCGGTTAAGTTGCGGTAGGACCAAGGACCAAGGCAATTCCGCCATCCTTTTCTGTTCTGTTAATTGGTGATTAAATCCAACGACTCGACCACAAGTTGCGATAAGTTGGCTGTGAAAGCCATTACGAATATATTGATTTTTTGTAAAGATAAATATATATTTTTTAAGAGTTTTTGGGAACCTATTTGTTAAATATAAAGTAAAAAAATTGAATATTTGAAATATTTTTAAGAGTTTTTGGCAACTTCCTTGTTAAATATTAATAAAAAAAAATAAATATTTAATCATTTTTTGTTTCTGTAAGAAGAGTTCTCATTTGCTTCCAATATACATTTATTTCCTGCCTTTTAATTAATTTAGTTTTTCTAAAATAAGTAATGGCTCTGTGCCATAAACAGTCTCATATATTTCGCTCTAATCTGAAGACGATCATATTATTCTTTGGGTTTCCCCGCACTTTTCCGGCCACGTAAACAAAAAATGAAATCGCAATCTGTCTGAAGTTTCCCACCTCTCGTATCTCTTTTTTCCTGTTCTTGGCCCAGTCCCCCCCTGTTTGCATCGTCTTTGTCTCGCCCAATTTCGCAGTAACCACATTCTCTTTCCCCGTATCTGGATCTGTATCCCTCGGTGGGCCTGGGCCCGCCTTTCTCCACTTCCCTGCTCTGTGGGCCTGTGGATGCTCGATGGCTGCGCTTTAGAATCATCGACGCAAACGCAAAAAGTCTCAATGGCGCAGTAAATTATGTTTTATTATGCAATAAAGTCAACCATAAAAACGCTGCAATAAATTAAATTAACTACTAAAAATGCTGATTTTATTTTTACCCTCCGTTTGCAAAATTGTTGTTCAGTCAGTCCCGTCGTCTCCATATATACACACGAGTATTTGAATACATAAACAAGGATGTATGAATGTATGTTTGTATCTATCGTTCGGGGGCAAACTTTGGTTCTGTGTTTTTTTGGTGTACTGTCTGGATTTTTGCTTATTTTTACTGAAATTCCGCCTGGCAAATGTTCTAAACTGCAGTTGGGCCCAGGAAAAGCACAGTTTATAATTTGGGAAGTCAACAATTTGTAAGAGAATTTTGAAGAAAATATAGCTCAATTTTTGCTTGCCTTTTCAGCAATTTTTTTTTAATACTTATTTAAGTTACTATTAAATAGAAATGGGGTGCTTTAAATTACAAAATGTTTTGTAGATTTTTTTCCTCGTACCCAAAAAGCTTTACATCTTTTCTCCTCCCAACGTCGATCAGTTGAATGCTCAAATTAGTGAGTTTTCCTAAGAAGCCCAGACATCAAAGGATAACTAAGGGTAAAAAAAAACATCCTGCAGCCATTGTGAACATGAATGAAATGCAAAGAGACACACGACCGGCAGCAGTAAAAACAAAAGCGCAATGCTTTAAATGAATAAATATGACACATAAATACCAGTCAACAATGGTTGGCCTGTGTCGCTGCCAAAAAAAAAAAAAAAACAAAAAAACAAAATCAACAGATTCTCAAAAAAAAAAAAATTGCAAACATCGTAACAACAAAGCCAACCGACCAAGCGACAGGGACCGACAGTTAATTCCGCGAAAGAGGAAATTACAATTCATGCCCTTTGGCGGGACTCCATGATTATCAGATCGAATTAGTGTCTGCCCGGGCCTCTCGTCCTCCTCATCCTCCTCCTCCTTCCCGGTTCACTCTTCCGTATATGTTTGTCCTGGGGCCACATGAGCCACACATTTTTTATTGCCGCATTCTGTGCCGTTTCGGCCCTCAACCGAACCAAAACCAAACCGAACCGAACCATTTGAATGAACTTGGACCGGCTGCTGCTCCTTTTGTTTTCCGTTAACAACAAATACAACAATTATGAGTGTGTGCCCTGTCTGGCCATGTCCTGTGGAACCTGTCATGACCAGAAAGTTGCCCTTATTTTTTGGTTCACCGTTCAGCGTTCATTTCGCTGGCCGCAGACAAAAAAAAAAAAAAAAAGTATACGAAAAATTAAAAAAAATTCTGACAGACCTGGCTGTGAATTGTCATAAAGGCACGCGGTGTCGTTTTGCTATGTTTTTAAGCCCTCAATTCAATTATTAATTTTGGCGAAACATCGGTCAAATTTTAAAATCTCTCACCTCTATCTTATTTCCAATTTTTTAATCCCATTAACAATATTTTTGCCAATTTGTAGAAGAAAGCATACATGTTTTGTAGGGTTTATTTAACAAAAAAAGTATTTTGAACAATTTTTTAAATTAAATTAATTTTTCTATTTTTTAGCTATTGTCAGATGATCAAAATATAAAATGACCAATGAAATCAAATATATCATTTAAATGTTCAAGCATGTTCAATGAAAAGCGAAATTAGATAACAATTTTTGTTTTAATTTAAAATATTGAAAAGGGGTTATTAAGGTCTGGATATTTTGAAATAAATGGTTCGTTAAATAATGTTTTTTTTTACAATATTGTAGGTTAAAAACAAAATTAATTTATTTATTTATAGTTCATATGTCTGGATTTTCTAATAGTTTTTTAATGTTCCCCAACCCATTGACATGCTCTTGCTTAATTGATTTAGAATTGATACTCAGTGTCTGTATCTGGTAATGCCAGCTGTAGAAACATACTCAAAAAGTAATAATCAGCAGACACATTAATTATAGTAAACCGATTTGAGCGCCTTGGGGCTGCCTGTCTGATGACTAGAGACTGGGCTCTTACTTGGCCGAATCGCTGTTGACTCATTATGGTAAAGACATGTGTTAATTTATGTAACTTTCCCAAACTGCCATTGTGACGTTCATTAATCATTTTTTCGTTTCAAGATTTTCAAGTTGGCCCCATGTCTCGCGGACCGCTGCCTACTCTTTTATGTTATTTTTAGTTAATTGTTTGCGCTGTAAAATGTTTATGCGTTTTGGCCAACAGCTCGATTCGGCTGCCTTTGCCCTCTTTGACTAATGTCTGCCGCGTGTTCACGTTTTTGTCCCAATGATTTATAGTTGTCCGCTGGACAAAGTCATTTCTGCTTTGGCTGCGGTTTCGTGTGTCTGCAAAACATATCAATCATATCGGAAATTAATTTTGATAGCCACATAAAGCTTGTGTTAAAAAATAAAAATGGTGGAAAAGTATTATAGATACGAAAAGCAAATAAAGTATTGCAACATAGACAAGATGCCATTTTTTCAGAATTAATTATTGGAAATAACTTACTAATGGAAAATTCCAAAAAGTGACAAAATGTTCAATTAATTTTATGAGGATGCGAAGAATTTATTTAATAAATAAAATAATAATTATTTATTATGTTTATAATTTAAAAATATTTATAAATGTTTATTTGTAATCTTAACAAATTTCATAGTAGGGGAGAGTGGGGGAATTTCGTCACAGGGGCAATTTCGTCACCTGCAATATCTCGGAATCCATAAGTCGTAAAAATATATAATTTTTTTGTTTTAGTCCTTCAAGACGGCCAGACACAACTAATGCATTTGTTTTGCACAGAAGGCCAAGATAATTAAGCTATAATATTAAATGTGTTTTAACAGTTCAAAAGCTACATTTAGTTCTCGACGAAATTTTTTCTGTATGCCACAATTCAAAAGGAATAAGATACACGATTTTTTATATAATACACAGTGCTATAATGTGCATTTCTGCGTCAGTGATTTTTAACTTCGCGCCTAATTTCGCAAGAAAAATAATTATTTCTAAAAAAGTACGGTCTGGGGAAAATTCGCCACCCTACGCTAAGGGTAAATTCGCACCTATTTTAAATACATATTTTTATATTTGACGAGCTGGCTAACGAACAGACTACCAGCAGCAGCAACAAATATAGGACGTCAACAAAAATGGTACGCTTGATCAGTGTAGCATATTTTCAGGCGTTAAACTCCCTACATTTTTCAGGTGACGAAATTTCCCCAGTTGTGTGGTGATTTTACCCCCCTGTGTGGTGAGATTGCCCCAGTATATTGGTTTTACATTTTATTTTTTTATAAATCACCAAGCTAATTAAAAAAATAGGGGAATGTCACATTTTAAAGCTTGGTGCTAACCGCATTCAACAATAAAAATAGAAATATGATAACGTGTCTCAAGATGGACAAAAAATAGCTTTGAAAAAATGCTGACGAAATTCCCCCACTCTCCCCTAATATTTTGCAAGTTTTTAAGTCTTCCAGTCAAAAAGTAGTAAAGCGAAAGTAACCAGCTCACCCGATTTGCCCGTTAGCCAACTGTACACTGCCCTGCATAATTACGGTGCGTATGTGCCCCAACATTCAATCGCCCTGCCCCCAACCATCCGAAGCTAAAAAACAAAACCCCTAATCAGCATTAAGGCGCGCAGAGCCTATTATTAAGTTGATTACAATTTTGGATAAGCAAAGGCAGCCAAAACTGCGGTGCTATGTGTGGGTAACACCCCGGCGATCGGCGAGAAGTGAGGGCCTCTATATGGTGGGAAGTGAAGATCATTTTGCACGATTTACGAGTATATGTATATCTACATAAAGCCGAGTGAGTACCCGGGGCTAGAGTGGCGGATGGATAATGGTTACGGACAATGACGATGAGTGGATGGTAGCTTCTACTCTCTCGCGGTCTTCAAGAAATAAAGACTGCCCCACCGTCCCGGGCACATCCATCAATCGTGATGGATAACTGACAGTTTGGGGCGTTGCGGGTTCTCAATTTTCATGGTCAGCTCCTCGGTGAAATAAAGAAAAATTCCATTTACCCGTCAACCCAATTTGTTGATCATTAATCATTGATATATGTTTGTATGTAACCCGTAAATTCCGCTTATTTGGCTGCTTAAATGTAGCATTGACCCATTGGGGAATTCATTTAATTGCGCATGTGCCACGGAAAATTGGCATAAATTAATATGGCCAACAAATTTAATTAGCCATAAATCAATGAGTTTATTAAACAGTAGCCAGCAGCCAATCATGCCGTAACGTTTTTCCACCAATAAACTGCCGCAAATTGGCTAATACCAAATGGCGTTATATGTCGGGCCGCTAAAGTTATGCCCGTTTCCCTCGCTCGATCTCGCCAACGCCCACAAGTCTCGCCGCGCACATTAAAAATCAGTTAAATTCAGAAACACTCTGCACCACACTCTCACCCCCCACATAAACAATTTCCATGGCAAAAAGTCCGGCTCCGAGTCAGAGTCAATGGAAACCAGGGGACCTCTCACTGTGCCGGCTGTCGAGAGACGCAGCTGGATTCGAACTGGTTATATGGACTGACTGGACCCGACTTCTGTGTGCGGTTGGATGTGCCACCAAAAGCCATTTGGCACATACATTTCAAACATTTATGGTTATTATAAAGCATTTAACATTATTATGGATGCCATGGGGCATCTGTTACAATCTGACGGCGGACCAGCAGTAATAGCTGCAACACAAACACCGGCAGCCCATATCGCCGGCTTAAATAATCACTCTGCGGTGTAATTAGCAAAATATTTATTAATATTTCGTAAAGTGGGCACAAAAATAAGCAATGCAATTGGCCAAATGCTGCATTGGGCGATAAAACACAACTGGATTTCGGCGGCCAATTGATCGCAGGAAAAATCAGTTTTCCAATTTCACTAAAATTGTTTTATCCAGGGGGATAATTATTTGTAGTTTTTGAAATTATGTAAATAATTTTATTTAATAAATTTGAAAAATTTTAATGAAAATCTTTCCGAAAATTGTACAGATATAAGTTGGCTTTTCGTAATATATTTTTAAATATTATTTTCTTAAAAAAAAAAACTTAAAAAAAAATATTTTGCATGATTAAATTAAAATGTAACTTAAAATTATTCCAAAAAGGACTGTTCATGCTACCTCTCGAAACCCCTAAAATAATTGATATGGTATTTGGCGTGCTCATTTGACTGGACACAATCTCCTACCGAATCAAGTTTATTTATGTTTTTCAAAAAACGTTTGCCTAACAAAAAACTCAAAAAACGAGCAGAAACTTGACAAATAAGTTACGCTTAATTTTCTGGCAAGCGTTTAAAAAACCGAAACACGCAACAAGGCAGCCACCTAAAGCAAAACCCATTAAAAGCGACGCGACACTTTTGATAACAAATTCAAAGCCCAAACCGAAGCCACAACCAAATCCAAAATCGAAGCAAATTCGGCTTGACAAAAAATCGAGCCAAACTTACTATATACCGAATCAGAGTCACAGTCGGGCCATAAACATTGAATTTTACGACGCTGTGTGGTCTCGTTTGACATATTGTGGGCTTTACGATTCCAAAATTAATGACACCATACTATGGGCCAAGTCAGGTAACGGGCATCGGATTGGGGGCGCCCTCCTCTCGGATTTGACTTGGCTGGTGCCATACCGGTTTTCGGCTTGTGAATATATATATTTTTGGGGGAAACGACAGCCTCATCAGTTAATAAGACACATACCCATTTTTATGGCATTAAACGACGACAAGTGAAACATAAAATATATATTTACTTTATTTTTATGCGCCGATGGTCCGCTTTAGAGCTCAAAACTCACTTGACAAAGCAATTTGCAATGCAAATTGATCAACGCGTTTGGTTAGTTTTTCGGTTTTCTAAATATTCACTTCGCTTTGCGTTTCGGTATCTGTGTTTTTTATTGCTTTGATTTCATTTCAAATAAATCGTAATCAACTAAATTTACGATCTGTGGCAAGAGCGACTTCACATTCCCTTGAAGTTCGGCTTAATTAATTTCAATTTAATTTTTTCCAAAGCCAAATTTATGATTCAATTGCATTAGGTGGCATGTAAATTTATCAGCTGAGCTCATTAAATGTCGAAACGCCTTGATTAAGAATCGTGATTAAGAAAATTAAAATACAAAACGAATAATTTCCTTGAATATCAATATATGTGGGCATTTGATAAAGAGTTTTGAACATTTTATTTATATGAAAATAAAGATTTAAGTTTACGATCTCCATTATTTATTTATATAATAAACTTCTTCATAAATTACTAATTTATTTATTTGAGTAGGTAGTACCTAAACAAATTCCTTTCCTTTTTAAAAAGTATCATGTCCAATAACCATGGTTTTTATTTAACAAAATATTTGTTTAGTTTTTTCTTTTAGTTGGCTAAAAACAATTAATTATTATTTGCAACATAAAACACGAAAATCCGGCAAAAAACGCCATAATAAATATAAATAATAGCTGCAGCAATTTTCGTACTATATCTCGTATATTATATAATGTAGAAAGTGCGTGCCGCACAAACGCATGGAACGTATAAAAATAATAAATTACTTCGAAGCGAGAGGCAACTGGAGTCCCGGTCGAGTTGGGTCGAGAAGGGATGTTTGTGGAGCGTTTATTATGCGCACAATAAACGCGGCGGGCGCAGCGGCGACATAAATTAAATTTATGATGCTTATAAATATTCCACAGTTATTTGTAATACAGCAACAAACGAGGGCAACAGGATAACGCAAGGATGTGCCGAGCCTGTCTGTTAAACAAATTGTAGCCAACTCGGATGCGGGGAAGGCAACAACAACACACACATACTCACGAGAGCTAGGGAGATATATTTGATTTATGGGTGTGCGCGGATGAATAAAGGACTTCCAACTCCGAAAATCCAATTGCCACCACTAAAAGTGAAAAGAAATCGTTCATAAAAAATCGCTATATATGTGCGCATCTATATAATGTGCATGGCTGAATTGATGATACAAGTTTCCAGGCACCTGAAATAGCAGGCGAATAGATGCTGGCTAATTTATGGATAAGCTGCATGAACATGATTTATCATTATCGAATTTATGCTATTTATTCTTTTTATTCGCATATCATATTGCTGTTTCTGACCCAAATTATTGCCTATGCGAATTCGCTGTTGAGTTGTAGAATTGATGTTTATGAACTTCGTAAATCACCATAAACATTTGTTAAAATATTTTATAGAATTTAAAATAGCTCAGGAAATTCTAAAAATATCCCCTTGTTTCTGGGTTGTTGTCTTTATAAAATAGTTTTTTGAAAAAAGCTGATGATGCGATTGTACAAGTTTTCATTTGCAAAGTTTTCAAGTAGGGGAAAAGCAGCAGACCCATATTTTTTTAGTGACAGTATATAATAATAATATACTGTTCTTGTCAATGTTTCCAAAATATGAAAATTTTATAAGGTTGGTCATACTTGCTACCATTCCTAAAATTAATACAAGTGATTTTTTCCGCTCATTCAAAAAATACTCGATGTTATCGTAAGTACCTGGATGTACGAAAATATATATGGATTTCAGGTTTGAGCAGTACAGCCGAATTGCCACTTTTAAATGGTCATTCCATTCCAATTCCTCAATGGTCGAGCCGCAGTACTTAAAAAGAAGCATCCACAACTCGATAGGCAAATCGAAATACGATTTGAAAATAAGTCTCAAGTTCTTGTAATCGTTTCTGCTGTGATAGGAGAAGGCATTCCCCAGATATTCATGAGCCTGAGCAAGTTGTAGTTTTCTTCGTGCGATCGATGGTATTAGCAACCCTAAAACCCTTTTGTTAATCATCAGTTTCAACTTTTAATCGAAGTATTCACTTTTGAAAACATTTGCCTGATTTATTTTGGTATAACAACAATGGGTATTTGGTAAGAGTTCAATAGGGGAGATTGAAAAAACAATTCGATTTTTTAGAAGGCAACTCAATAGTGGCCGTGTCCATGTCCGTGCTCGAAGCCGTGATCTTCACCATGGCCGTGTCCATGACCATGACCATGTCCGTGATCCTGTTTCAGCGAGTAGCTGTGGGAGCTGCTGCCGTGACCATGACCATGACCGTGTCCTTCGTGTCCGTGGCCGGAGTGTCCGTAGTCGTGTCCGGACTGCGAGGAGTGCTCCTCAAACTCAACGTGTCCGCCCTCATAGCCGCTGTGTCCGTGGGCAGCATGGTGCTCAGCTTGGTGGTGATCGTGCAGCTTCTCGCGGTGGACATGGGCCTCGAATCCCTTGTGCTTGTCGGCCGTATAGTGGACAGTTCGCTTGTGGCCATCGGCATCGATCAACTCATAGTGTCCGGTAACCTTGTGGCCATGTCGTGACTCGCTCTGCGTCTTCACATCCCCAGTCTTGTGATCCTTGACTCCGTAGGTGAAGTCATACTCGGCATGGGAATCGTGATGATCCTCGTGACCGTGACCGTGATCGTGGCCATGACCTTGATCGTGACCGTCATCGTGGGATGTCAGGTGCACGGAGGCATGACTGGTGGCTCCACCATGATGGCCGTGATGTTCGTGGCCGTGGAAAGGAGCTGCCCGTATAGCCGCAATGGCCAACAGGGCAAAGGCAATGCAAAACTAAGGATAATCAGGGGATATTAAAAATACTTCCTTGGCTACTTATCCTTCGAGCTGAACTCACCTTTTGAGCCATGGTACCGCAGCGAGTTTATGAGTTGATCTTAGCTAGACTACACTGTTGTCTGATCACCAAACCAAAGTGAACTGTACCAAATCACCTTTAACCCGGCCTTTTTATAGTTAGTCCACTTCGACCTATTAGTTTGAACTTTCAAAAAAAGAATTGGTAATCGCTCTTTAGCTACGCCCCAATTTGCAGTTCAAGTTCAGGCCGTACTTTCGCCCCAGAGACATGCAATTATATTCGACCGGCAGCAGTTTCGACCCTTTTATTTTAGCTGAAGAAAAAGAAATCACAAAAAATGAGGAAAGAAAAGAATGGCAGTGTAGTAATTCATTGTAAAATTTACTGTCGCAACAATTGCCAATTTAAAGTGGCATTGTTTATGCATCGCATCGCTGTCGTTGTCGGGCATTATAATCCCCCGGCCAGGGACTCGGATTTGGATTGGGATATGTGGAGAAGTGGATATGTGGGCATAGTCAAGAAACAAACGAGCCAAAAGATTTATATGCCTGACAAACGTCGTTGAGTCGTTGACGTCAATCAGGCCTGACAAAAAGTCATCAGAATTGCAGTTTGCAGTTCTCCCTCCTCCCGCCACTCCAGTCGCTTCTTCATTTTGGCCAGATCGGAAAGGCTGGTCTCTCGATCCCAATACCGATCCCTACTTTCTGGGGGCTTTCGTCCCGCCAATCGGCCAGCCTGTCAGCAGTCAATCGGCTACCGTCTGTCAATGTCGTGTCGCCTTCATCAAAGGCCACATTCGAGTTGACAATGGGGATATTGGTTCTGTTTTGTAATCCAAAAAGGATAAGGATTTTCGAAAGTGCTCATGTCGGGCAGAAGAGCTCCATACGTGCGTGGTTGGGAAGTTGGAGGGAACAGGCATTGCTGAATGCAATTTGCATTTGATGCGTGAATTAGCTGGGAATGTGATAATTGGATGAGAATGTTCAAAAAGAAGGGATCCGACATGGGATGGCTGTCTATTGGATTTTTGTATTTTTTTTTATTAATAATAATATTTTATTTATTTACTTGTAATGTGATAATTGGATGAGAAAGTTTAAGAAGCTGGAATGTATTTATTTTAAGGTTTTCAGTTCAGTCTGCAAGTTTATTTTTTATTCATAATATTTTACTTATTTATTTGGAATGTAATAATTGGATGACAATTTTATAAAAATGGGGGATCTAGTGATTATAGGGTTTTTAGTTAAGTCTGTAGTGTTATTTTATTTTATTGTGTTTATTAAATATTAAATTAAATTATTTTCTTAAAATGTTAATATTATTCAGTTAAGTTTGTCCCTTAGATTTTCCTACACATATATCTCTTTATAGCCCCTTAAAGCTGACCCTTTAAGGTTATTTGGATCACATTATACGGCAAAGCCATGGTTTAATTGATTCTGATTATGGTAACTGGGCTTATGCGTCTATAAGTGCAGCTCCCTTTGAGCCCGATGAAATCCCCTTTCCTTTTCATCAACGAAATTGCCCTTATGGCATAGCTCCCTGAACATGCGGCGATGTTGCTGCTGCCAGTTGAGAGCTGCAAGTTGCAAGTTGCCAGTTGCACGTTGCCAGTTGCCGTTGCTGTCGACTCATCGTTGTCAGTCAAAGGGGCAAACGAACGAAAGGCTGCGTTGTTTGGCTCGCTGGTTTCGTTGTCAGTGTCATTGCTGGCTGCGTTTTGTGGGCACATTTCGGCTGCTTGATTACTCATGTCAATCAGGCTTCCAAACAGCGACGACATGCTGTCAATCTTTGTGTCATGGCCGCTAAAGTTGTTGGTCGGTTGGTCGGTCTGTTGGCCGGTCGCTGGAGTCGGACAACAAGTACGCTTGATTGCCAGGCCTTTTGGGCCTGGGTAAAAGGGTAAATACAGAAAAAGAGGCGATGGGGAAAAGCGATGATGCCACAAAGGTGCCCAGTGGCAGTGACAGGACTGTAGCTGCAGCCCAGTACTTGATGTTGCTGCCGTGGCCGTTCGATTGATGGGCATTGTATGTAAATTGGGCGGTCGTTTTCGCATTTGATGCCCTGTCAAGGGATAATCAACAGCAGTGGCAGGAGAGCAGATCAAAAACCGCAGACAACGAAGGGACAACTTTAACATGGACTTCCATTCGCATTCGCTCGAACGCAAGTCGTTGCCACTCATTATGCGCTCGAATACGAAATTGTTTTTCCACTGTAACGAGCTTAAGAAATACGATCAAAGTGCCTCGATAATTTTTCCCTCGGCACCAACCATCGTGACCATAAATATCCTTCGCCGGCATCCTGCCGAAAATTGAAAACGACAATGTTGAGGGCCTGTTGACAGATACTCATTTGACAGGATCCCATCAACTGTCACTGCCAAGCGAAACATAAACTGAAGCGAAACTGAAACAGCGACTGACTACGAATTTCCAATTTAATCGCGATTGTGGCGGCTAAAAGAGGCATATTGTTTGACATGGAACGTCCTTCAGGCAACGTCCCTTGTAATTGGCATTTTTCTGAACTCAAAATTTTCAATCGATTGGGCTTTTTATTACGATTTTAACTCGGTATGACAGTCCATATTTCTACAAAATACTTATTATTTTTAAGAAACATTAAGATTTGGTATTTTACCATTAAAAAAAGGAATTTGTTTTGCGTTTTTTTAATATTATTTCTGTTAAAATTGGTTTCGATAAAAACATAGGAATATCTAGACCACTTTCGGAAAGATTTACAGAATATCTCTCTTAACAAATTTTTTGAGACTTTTTAATTGGTTTCGACAAAATTATGATTTTTTGAGGAAAATTATAGTCTAAAATGTTGCTAAAAATTGTATATGATGGGAAATACCATTACTAAATCTTCTTCTCGTGCACTACCCACTTCCAGCGTTGACAATAAAATATCACCGGGCGAGAAGAAGGCAAAAAAATGCGTAAGACAATTCACAGCAATTGCAATTGAACAAGAAACTGGTTGGCAGGCCATAAAGTTAGCTGTAATCGGTAATTGCGATAAATAAAGTAAGTGGCCGGGTCCGAGGTGTTGGGACATCCAGGGGAGGAGCACAACCACATCACTAACCACACCGATGCCCCTGGAGTCCGGAGGAGTGTTGACAATTCTCGTCAATTACGTTGTAATGCGTTTGGTCCGTCGTCAAAACGCTGGGCTGCTGCCTTGACGTTCCAGTTGGGCCACTTGATGCATTGCTTGACACATTATGATGCTTGATTTGTTGTCATGGCAATTTTGCCACCATCCCGACCAGGCCTCAAATGGCATCTACGCAATCCTCACAGTCCTCACCTCTCTTCATGTCAATCTCCAGAGGCTGCGAGACGCTGTGTAATGTGAATTTTTCACTATGGACAAATGAGTTTGTCGCGGCCTTTTTGCGTTATAATTACAAACGCTTGTGTTTTTTGTGTTGCAGCTGCCACTGCTGTCTGTGAACAAAAATAGTTAGCAACGCAACAACATTGTTGAGCCTACCAGTTATTAATGGTTAAGTCTGCACATGTTGGTATTTATCGCGCTGTTTATTTATCCTCTCCAGTGCTGCCATTTTGTCCTCTTTCCGGACAGATCTGTCCTTTTTTTAACGGCTTTATCCGGAAAAAATTTCAAACATCCCCTATCCGGAAATCTATCCTTTTTTCAAAAAAAAGGTTTTGAGTGTTATTTTTGCTAGTCGAAAGTGTATAAACCTGTTTTTATATGCTAAAATGCCTTTTTAACCATCATTCTTACAGTTCGGCACATAAAAAATAATTCTTTTTACAAATTATCAAAGAGACGTAAAGCAGTCGATGGATTTTCTTTATAGTACGATTTTTTCTGTAGCAAAAAAAGAGGAAAGCACTTTTAAAATTTCTTAATTTTTACTCTCTGCTTTTTTGTCAGAAAAAAAATTCAGATTTGAACGACTATTTTTCGGGTTTGACGCAGATATTTAATTTTTTTGTATTACGAATATAGTTACTTGAAATGCAATAATTATTATAATAATTTTAGATTATTACGTATACGCACAAAAATTTACCATGGTAAAATGATCAAACAAAGAAGGTTGTGAGTCGGGCGCAGTAGATCATTACATAATTAAATTTTATTTAAAATCCATTTATATTAAGTAAATATATAACCCATTGGTAAAAACAGAAAAATGTAGGCACATTTACTTTTGTCCTTTTTTTTGTCCTTTTCTTAAATTTTTTGTTTTTTTGGCTTATCTGTCCTGTTTTTCAAGCTGAGTGATGGCAGCACTGATTCTCTCCCTCTGGCAATTTGTGATCGCTTTCTTGTTGTCCCTTAATTATTTGCTGAACAAGTAAGGTATTTAGGAGGAATTTCTAATGTTCCTGGAATGCAAATAAAAATGTCTGCCGATGTGAAAGGATATTTTTAAAAACATTTTTGGATTTTAGACTACATTGTTAGTAAGTAAATCTGTAATTGTAATTATTATCGTACATTTACTTAGTTCTAAATTAGAACTTTTGGGATCACTTACTGAAACCTGAAATAAAATAACAATATTTGATAAAAATATAGGAGTTGAAAATTAATTGGAGAGTTTAAAAGAGAGTTTTATAAATATAGATTATCAGTAAATATTAATGCAGCGAAGAGACCAAAAGTACCTAAGAGTTCTCCGACTTTCGACTACGTTTTCGCCTCTAACAATTAATTGATATGGACAATTAAGCAATCGCATTAATTAATTTTTTTACTCTATTTCGAGTGTGTGCAGACAGGAAAGACTTTTATAAAAAGTGACTGTAATTGATTGTTAAGTCGTTTTTGAACTGGGCCGCCAAATACGCCTAATAATGGAGCGTATCGCATAATCACAGCACTCGTAATTGCCTCCCATGAACTCGATTGGAACAGTAGCTGGATATGTAGGCAAATTATGCATGCTTCCAGTCAAGTCGGATTGAAAGACTTTTTTTCACAAAACGTCTTACCAGTCATTATAAGCACTTGTCATTAATGACATTTTGGTCGCCGATACTTAAGACATTATCTCTCAGGTCTCACGAGAAGGAGAATAGTCCCAGGTCCC